TGCCGAATGTCAAATAAATCTACTAAATGTGAAGTAAATATACTGAATGTCAAATAAAACTACTAAATACTAAATAAATCTACTAGATGTGATATAAATATACCGTATGTCAAATCAATCTACTAAATGTCAAATAAGTGAACAAAATTTCATATAAAAATACCGAGTGTCAAATGAATCTACTAAAATTCAAATAAATTTACTGAATGTCAAATAAATATATCGAATGTCAAATAAATCTACTAAATGTGAAATAAATATACCGAATGTCAAATAAATCTAGTAAATGTCAAATAAGTGAACTAAATGTCAAATAAAAATACCGAATATCAAATGAATCTACTAAAAGTCAAAAAAATATACTGAATGTCAAATAAATCTACTAAATGTGAAATAAATGTACCAAATATCAAATAAAACTACTAAACGTCAAATAAATCAACTAAAAGTGAAATAAATATACCGAATGTTAAATAAATATACTAAATGTTAAATAAGTGAACTAAATGTCAAAACAAAAATACCGAATGTCAAATGAATCTACTAAAAGTCAAATGAATATATACCGAATGTCAAATAAGTGCACTAAATGTCAAATGTACTACTGAATTTTAAATGATTCTACCGTCTAAAAGACTTACCCATTTTTAAATACATCGATTTAATGTTTAATGCATCTATTCACTATTATTACTTCTGAGGAATATCAAGTGAATCTAATGGATTCTAAAAAATCCACTGAACGTTAAATGAATATCGCAATGTTAAAGACATCGATGTGTCCAAATATTGTCAAATGATACTAGTGGACTTCAGATAACGCAACTGCGGGTTGCGTGGTCTCGAGTTATGGCATCCGCCTCGAAGGTTGGGATTTTTTTCACATGGACCTAGTAATTTTCTTTGGTTTCTGTGTAGTTAAGACCGGTCGCCCGTGTGTATAGTTGATTACCTTGTTTGAAAGCGACGTAAAAAGTAGCCTAACTTGTCCGCAAATTTTTGACTTTGAAAAAACGTATTTCAGGATTCTCGCCGGCGCAACTAGGTTCGTGCATTGCCTTGAGATTCTTCAGACTCAGGCTTGAGTTAGAAATAGAACGGAGCAATTACGGGTTTACACCCGAGTGCCATGATTTTGATCATTCTACAAAACTAAACTAAACTAAACTAAACAGATAAAGCTACTGATTATATAAAACATTTTCTGAGTGTCAAATGAACCTGTGGAACCTACTGAATGTTAAATGAATCTATTGAACTAACAAATGACAGTTTATTTAGTTTACACGTAATCATCGATTGCCAAGTCAGATAGCGTAGGTGTTTATATCTCTTTACAGATAACAGTCCGTGGTTTTCTGGATCATTTATCTGGCTTACTGATTTGAGAATCAACATCATAGCATACCGGACATACACATTGATCAGCGGTTCTCAACCTGTGAGTCGCGACCTCTTTTTGTGTGGGTCGAACGACCAGGAGTCGCCTTAGACCATCGGAAAACACATATTCACTCAAGTTATGCAGTAGTAACGAAGATAATTGCATATTTGGGGGTCGCCACAGCATGAGGAATTGTAAAGGATCGTGGCATTAGGAAGTTTGAGAGCCACTGCCATAGATGCTCCGTCTCCCATGATGATTTATCTCGATGGTTTTGTCTTAGACCAGCGTTCCTCAACCTTTTCACGCTGGCGGCCCATCAAAACAGGGGGACATTATTTTGCGGCCCACCTGATAACTAGCCAAACCCAGACATGAAAATAAATGTAAGATAGCAGTTTTTGGTTAAATACGATGTAATTAACGTACGGTTTCCAGCTAATGCCAGATCTACTGCTGCAAGTTATACCTTCGTCGTCCTCTCAATAGATGCATTGCTAATATTTGGTATCCGGCATATTTTAATGCTAGTCATACTAGCACGACAGCAGCAAACACCACTGTCCCATCTCGAAGAGTCAACAAAAACCATTATTGATAGGCCACATGAACTTTAATATATTCCCCATAAACGTTACTACACGCCACAGGTTGTTGATGAGTATATCGTCAGTGGAATTACCATTTATGTACATAATTATTCCCTTGTACTTTAACCGTGATATATATATATATATATATATATATATATATATATATATATATATATATATATATAATATATCATATATCAATATCAGTTCTTTTTATGCCTCGTGCACACGAGGCTTCAGAGAAAAATTTCCAAGCTTTCATGTCCTGTGCAATCTTTAGTACAGTTTTCCATGTCAAAGATGCTGCATTCAGGTCACTCTCCATCGTTCGTCTCCATGTTGTTTTTGGGCGCCTTTTCTTCCTCTTTCAATTACTTGAGCGGTTTTAGCCGTTTCAAACATGATTCTTACATTCCAGAAGCCAATTCCTTATTTGGTTTTAACGTCAATTACTTGTTTTCGTTTTTCCATCAAGGGCATCCTTTCGGCTTTCACCCATGTTGTTCATGCTGACAGAGGGACTGTGTCCCAAGACCGCCGGAGGTCTAGAGCACTTATTTCCTTTTGAAGTTTCAGTAACCTTGTAGTTTTTTTTTACAGGAAAGCGCTGTCAACAATGCGCCCAACTCCCGAGCCTGGAGGACCGGGAGGCCATCTTTAGTTTAGCCTCTCCCCAATGACCTGTCCGGCTTAAGTCATAGCTCACTAGATCACTGAGGCTCTCAATCTCCCCCACCACTACAAGGTAATGGCCTCTGGGGGGAGATCCGTGAGATATGCTCAACTCACTTTTCCCACTTTGCTTATAAACATGGAATCAGATCACACAGCATTCCCGCTTCCAGCAGTATAAGTACTCCTTTGGACAAAACAACTCATAACTAGGCGCTGGACACAAAGGGTGTGGTAATAGCCATCTGGGGGAACCCATAACCTTTAAATGTTTGTTATTTACTTGATACCCCATAACGATTTTCTGACTCCACTCCTGTCATTGACTGATACAACGTAGTTTTCTTGTTCTGCTTTTCTCTACTCTTGGAATGCTTAGCGTCATCAGAGAAGGAACACATCTCTGGGACGGGCCCTTATATTCGTTTATTGTTTAAAGTACTTTTCAGTGTCTCTGATATTTCTGCACTCAATATTGTCCGTGCTAGACCTATGAGTCTGTAAACGCTGTATTTTCCAGTAAGTGTGTTTTTACCGACGGTCAACGGATAGATCTTGCTGACATTATTATTGCTCTCCGAGAAATGAGAAGGGTGGAGAACTTTGGGGGCAGTGAATCCACAGAACTAGCCATTCTGATAAACTTGGAATTTGAGATAGGCAGAGCTTCAAACGAGACGCACACCCGGCACATCACAGGACTCGTTAATCAACATAGAACAGGTACTATTAGCCACCTGATGCTGGAGTTCATACTGAGGGGAGGATCTGAGCACCTATGGGCTTGTCTGGAGTAAAATGATGACAGGTTTGTTGCGTATCCTTTACAGGACGTTGCAAAACCAACCCAAAAGCCGCTGGCTGTTGTGTGGTTTTTCTGGGCAAATTTACGTCCAGTAGTTTGCCATTGCTTTATGAACGGTCGGCTTTCTTGATACCACTGTCGAAACCAACGTAAGGCGCATGGCCCGCAGCTGGGATCGAACCCGGCATCCCGGCATTACGAAGCGTTCGCATCGACTTAGCCACAGAGCCGACGAAATGATGACAACCCCCCAAAAAAGTGTGTTATTCTACTAAGTAAATCTAGCAACCACGTCTCACATGCAGGACCGTTTTAACAACAGTATGGTCCCTAGGAAAAAAAGTGTGCTGGAGCCACTTTGACAACCAATCACAGAAGTGAAACTCAAACGGTTGGAAATGATTAAACATGAATTAATGTCATTTTCACTTCAACAAAACTAATATCAAAACATTTAGGCTGGGTCGACCTGGGAGCCAAAATCATTTAAAAAAAAAAAAAAGAATTCCGGCTCCGTCAAAACCTGAACTCATGACCTTTAGATCCGCAGGTGAGCATCTAGCCGCTCCACCACTGCGGCTCACTTTTTACTTATAATAACGACTAAATTTGATTAAAGTGAGAAAGAGAGAGAGAGGGGGAGGGGGAGAAACAAAGAGAGTGATAAACAAAGAGAGAGAGAGAGAGAGAGAGAGAGAGAGAGAGAGAGAGAGAGAGAGAGAGAGAGAGAGAGAGAGACGCGTAACCAAGTGATTAGAATCTCACTTGCTACAACAATCGCTGTAGCTTTAAATATGTATTTCAATATTAGAATTTTCAATAGCCCTGATTAGAAGACTAGGCGCCGGAAGCTTCCCCAAATCCAGGAGAAAAATAATACAACCCTTAAATGATTAGATCAACGAGGTCTGCTTCAGCCACAGGCAGGCGATGTAGTTTGTAATTTACTCTACTTTTGAAATTATGACAAGGGATTAGAACGCTGGGCTCCCATTTAGCAAACAGATTGATTTTTTTCATATCTTCGGTAAGCAGTGGCGATTGCACCTATTTAGTGTTCATTTCAAAACCACAACTCCCCTACAATATTGGACTCTCCCCGGAACTCTCGGATTTCCTTAGTTTGGGGTGAGTTAAAACTGAAGTACTGGAAAGACTAATGAAAGAGAGATAGAAGAAGACAGTTAAAGGACATTTCTGGTAGTTTATTTTTGTGTTTGTTTTATTCTGACACAAACCGTCAGCATGCTATGATACATTAGTGGAGATCGCAACATATGGACAAGCTCGTGATTGTCCACGCCAGTCGGCGAGGTAAGTGCTACTCACTGGTGATATCTGGGAAGAAAAGACTCACAACTCGACATCACAACGGTGTTACCTTCTTTGGAATTTATATTACCTTTTTTTTTTAAAGCCGAACTTTGTATTTCTCTTTCTAGGAACATTCCGTAAAGTCACAGTGACGATCATCCTTGTCGTTTTCCTGTATATAATTTTCATAACATACTATGGACATCACGGTGATTTTCTGAAGTTGACAAAGCCAGCTTACAACAAGGCAGCCATCATTGCGAAACATCATACAATCAGAGTCTCTATTGACTCAAAAACTACAAAACGTACATCAAAACAGCAGTTGATATGGAATTTCATCAACAGCAGCAACATTTCTGAAGCATATCGGAAAAGATGGATAGGTTTTCCAGAAATATATGGAAGCGACTGTCCAAAAGCGTTGAAAACAAAAGTCAATAACAGCATATTTCCTTCTAAAGTGAAGCGGACTCATCCAGTAGATATCATAGCCGATGCCTCGGACTGTAAATCTTTCATCGAGAAGTATGGCTACAACAGGTATCCGGCAGCCTCGCAGGAAGAGCTCGACTTCCCCATTGCTTTCATCATCCTCTTTTATACGGACCTTGATCAGGTAGGCCTACATGTAATATGTATAAATGTATTTGTGGGCTGGCCCCAAATGTCTTTGGTTTTGTGATGCAGATGTTTAAAATGATCCCTGTCAACTCAGCCGAAATGGGTCAATAAAAATGTCATGTGAAAAAAAAAGACGTTTTTCACACAACTTTCTACACATGCACAAAAGAACAAAATAAGTTCCAGTGGATCAAGGGGTAAAGAAAAGACGATGACGTTGAAAATCTGAGAACAATATTACTAGAATGTCTTTGCATTGGAACCCACAGGGGCATAGAAATAAAGGAAGACACACTCACACACACACACACATGGAGTAGAGAGCTAGATGGTGAAGTTAAAAAGATGGGGAGGATATAGGCAGAGCTGCATGCGATAGCGAAGAATAGAACGATCTAGCGTGAGTTGGCTGAGGGCCTGTGCTCCTTTGGGAGCTAGAAAGGCAGAAGAAACAGTCTGGAGTCGCAGAGTAAAAAAAAAATTGTGGCTGGCGAAGGGGTATCATTTTGTCGTTTTCCTTTCCTATCATTGAGTGTTGTAATGTTTGTTTTGTGGTTAGTTGCTTCTTAGCTCAAGTTGGTGCAGAACGCATCATGAAACTTTGGCAAGGACACCTCGCCGGCATGCGGATGACAGATGTAAAAAGGAGTCGTGAGCTAGCACCAGAAGGAAATCCAGAGAAGAACCTATAATGATTTGGGATACCACAGGCAGAAAAGCAGCTAATCGGCAGTGATGGAGATTACTTTTAAAAGTCTTATTAGTCAACAGCGATACGAGGAAAGTAATGAACAATAGAATAACTTCGACTGGAAGGAGTTAATTGTTTTCGGTCCATATTAGGTGGCAAGACACTTTAATTTCCATACTTGTCTTGTTATAAA